AATTTATGACCAATCTTTTTGAAACACCCTGTATAAATCGTTTATTTAGTCAAAAAAACTATTTTTTACTTGTCAATACATCTTCACATTTAAAATATAAAAAATACATAAGTATAGAATCAACATACATTTAAAATGCAATAAAAAATACATAAGATACAGTACACTTACATGTCAACTATACAAAACATAATAAAAGAACTAGAAGAAAAAAAAAAAGAAACGTCAATTGGTCAGCAAGTACTCATGCAGTTTTCTTTTAAATATTGCTGCGTTTCAAGAACATTTAATATCTTTAGGCAAATTATTAAAAGTCTGTACACCTTTAAAACACACTGAATTTTGTGTACATTTTTTCGTGGCCTTATAAACTCTAAATTTTTTTCTTATTTCGTATATTGTGTTAATTTAATCTTAAATATAAATAGCAGGGAATAGAATAGCAAATATTTTCTAACAGGCAACCACTGAAGCACATTCAACATGGAATTGATTGGTTCCAATCTCGAACAGCTCAGTATTATCCTCATACCTCTATTCTGCAACTTTTGTAATCGTTGCAACTCATTCTGGCTAAGCAAATACAATATAGTGGCACAATATAAAATGAGGTAATATTAGAGTATTATAAATTAATATTTTAGCTCATTTGCTGAGATGTGGAGAACAGCGCCTCAAATAGTTTATTTTAAATGATATGCCTTTGATGACGTTATTAGCATGTTTCTTAAATTGTAAATTTGTATCAATCATAACCCCTAGATATTTAAATTTTTCAAATGTCTTAAACTTTATTCCATTATCAGAAACACACTGAGATGCTAAATTTAATTTTTTTAAATTTCCAGTACCTCCAATTAACATTCACTTTGTCTTTTCGTAATTTATTTTCAACGAGTTTCCGTTACAATAATCATATATTTTAATAGGTGAAGTATGTGAAATATATTTTAAGAATGAGTTCAATGACCTTCAATATCCTTATGAACAATAATTAGTTTATCAAATAAGGCTTATTTAACAACTAGAAATGCATAGATTATTTACGGAGTACTTAAAGGTAAAAATATAAGTATTTTTTTTCGACAACCTTGCTGGCGATTGTCATAGAGTTAAAAAAAAACCGACTATAGTAAAGACTAATGACAGCCAAAGTAAATCTGCAAAGGTCATAAAAATAACTACATTATTTAATGCGAAAAGGGCCATTGTACGATTACTGCTAAGGCTAATTTTAAAATGTCAATTGTCAAATCAAAATTATACGTTTGAGTGTGAAATTGAATATTACCAAATTATTTCCTGAAGAATATGTTTAGCAGCTATACGTTTCATTGTGGAACACGAAACAGTAACAGTATTTTTAATAATAATGATTATTATCAATTGCGTTAGTCTTTCAGACATTTTGAAATGTTTTGTTTGTATAAATTGTGTTTGCAAACAGCAACACAACAGCTTGCTCCAGGCAAGCTAAAATTTCGAATTATTTATTTCAGGGTATAAACAAAATATGGTCCGAGTTTGGCTCGGAGACCGTACCCTAATCCCAAACGTTTAAAATATATTTTTTTATATAAGTCGTATCAATCTTTAGGGTTATTAGCGACATAGTTTAACATTATATTTTGGAAAATAGGTTAATGTTGGTTAAGTACTTAAAAATATTGGTTACATTACAATGTTCACCTAGAACTAGTTTTAAATTATTATTTAAGTCAGTGTTTAATCATTCAGCTTGATATTTTGGGCATTGTATCCTAGTGTTCAACTGTGAATTGTAAGTTACACAGTTCGCAGTTAGGGGGGGGGGGGGGCGTTTAAAATATTCATTCTCCTAATAAAATATATCTTTTATAATTATTTAAATAAAAAGTAATTCATTTAAAATTTTATGAAAATCATTTAATAATTTTTCCTTGTTTTTAGCTTATCTTTCAAAAAATCAAACTACCGATATTATAAAAACTCTTAACACTGGAAAACAGTCCAAAAATAAAAATATTAACACCACTAAATAATAATAATAAGATATTATATTTTTTTAAAAAACTATTTACAAACCTGAGCAGAATATTTTCTGTCACCTCGCTTTGTAATTCCGTGACGTCACACCTTTTCTTGACAACGGAAGAGGCCACCGAGGTAGTTTACGAACCGTGGACATGACTCATTTGTTGTGTCTTTGTCTGGCGTAGCCTACTATTCTACTAGCATTTTTTAGTGGATACTGTGATATTAGGGTATCCTTTTGTGCCATTCTGCAACCTTTGGCAAAGAGATAATATGATGTCTATGACCTTTGGATACATTTCTATACCCTGATGAGAAAAGTGCTAAAGAAGCGAGATATACAATTGTAAACAATTACGTGACTCTTGATTAAGAGTTTGTGTTTTTAAATTCATTACCTGTTATGACTTTTAGTAAATTACAATAAACATGTGAGCCGACGGTTTCGGTTATCGTTTTGCATTCTTTCGCAATTATTAATAAAACATATTACAAGATTAAGTTTCTTTCAGCTAACTCAAATCATGTATCAGACGAAAAATTTTTCTTACCCTCATTTTTTAAAACTTTTTTTTTAAGTTTCCGATCATTCTGAGTCCGAAAATGCAAAAAAAAATTTCGTCTGGTCGTCTGTGTGTATGTATGCCGGAAAGATAACTCTAGAACGACTTGCGATTTTGATTTTCTTGAATAATTACTTCTAACTTAGAACCTTATTGATTTTCAGAATTTTAGGTTCATCCTACTACTTTAATATCAATTTTCTTGAAATCCGTCTATGCATTTCTTATGTGACTAATTTTACGAATTTCAATCATTCCTAACGTCTAACATTCCCAACATTCTTAATTTTTCATACATTGCAAACATTCTCCAACGATCTGTCAAACAACAGCTGTTGATTCTAAAGGAGAGATTTCTAAGGCAGGTTGCGACCTTCATACTTGCAACCATAGCCATAGCCTGCCAATTTATGAAAAATATATAAGTAGTTTCTTAAAAATGACTTTTTTTGTGGTGGTGCTAACTTAAGCTTACTACTATTTCGCCACTAGCCACAAAAACACCATCAAATTTACTGGCTCTCTGTCGCAACCCTATAGAATAATTAACCGGCCATTTTATTTGGCAAAAATCAGAATAATGCTTGACTGTGTCTGTCAAGTATCAAGATGTCAACTGTGATGTGTGAATGGCTCTTAAATGTCAAATTATTAAAAAATGTATGCTTCTTTTGATATTTATTGCAAATAATTTGTTCAGGCTTTCCATAAATAAAGGTTCAGCAAGACAGATAATATAATGTTCTTATACAAAGCACATTTTTAAAGAGAGGTAGGATATAATTCTGGCTTTTTGTAGATCATTTTAATTATACGATTTTGGATTACATTAAGGGGTTGAAGTGCAGTATCATATAGTCCACATTATACCATATCGCAAAATAGATTCAACCAGCGAATTGTAAATAATAATTAGTAAACTCCTAGTCATAAATTTCCTCAATTTCAAATTTTGATCAATGATACCGAGGTATTTTGTTGTGTTTTTCATTTTAATAATAAAGTTGTCATTTATTTGTATGTATTTATTTGTAAATTATATTGCTCTCTATGGATCTACTTTAACACAAAAATAGTTTTGTGACTATAGTCGCAAAACTATTAATAATTTAAACATAGTAGGTAGTATTAATATAACAATAAGTAATTTTTTAAAATAAAGTATATGATCTCAAAATAGAAATAATTTATAATAAATGCGGGTAAAACGAGGGGTAAAATAATAAATTAAGGAAAATACTTAAAAAGGGCAGGTTTAAAGAGTATTATCACAAGAAAGTAAATCTGTTATGTTTATTTATCAAGTATTGTTTGAGGTTATTTTTGAATACATTTATTGTTATTGTTTTTTTTTTAATTTCTGTAGGCAGTTTATTAAATTTTTGTAAACCTTTAATAAAAATTGTATTTTGGAACTTTTAGTGATCACTTGCCGTACAGTAAGTCAGATTGTCTTCTTGTATTATAGTTGTGATATTGCGAATTATATTGAATTTTTTCTAATAGATCTGATGCGATGGTACTATGTCATTTTTATTTTATAAATAAATATCAGTCATGTACTGAATATAATTCTGAACTGAAAGCCAATTTATTTCTTTTAACATAGTTGCAATACTCATCCTTCTGTCCTTTATTAATATTATATAAATAGGCAAAGTAAGGAGCCCAAATATTTAACATGACCATGCTTAAGAGGTAAAGAGGCCAGTTATTATTGGACAAATTGCTCGAACAAGTTTGTAAACCCTAATCAAAAGGCGATATAGAATGGTTTTAAAAATCACATGGTTTAACCTAAGTAATGCCAATACTTCACAAACCAAAACATTTAACGTCCTAATACTACTATCAGCTTTCGGTCTTTCGTTCCAATCATTTCTCGTTTTTTTTACGTTACGTGTTTACCCTTGTGGGCCTCAATCTCGATAAGGTGGGAACCACCATTTTAGCGTCTTTCGAATTTAATAATGCTTTCAACACTGTTTACTCGTAGATAATACATTTTTGGGGAAAAAAATTAACTAAAATGAATTTAACATACAATTTTAATAACATACTTTAAATGTTAACATTTCTTTATACCCCAACAACTACTAAATAAATTTTATATAATGAAACAGTTTCAGTGCTTTAACTGATTTCGAAACTAACTACGGCAACGCCGCATTTATGTCTATAAATTAACTGCTGATAAACGTCAACAAACTGGTTATTATAGGTTAAAATAAAATAATCGCTTATTTTCGATGAGACGATTGTCCAAAGTCTGAAGTTTTGTAGTTAATTTGTCATTTAAACGAGCTACCTACTTGATATCCTTACTTTCTATTATATTTTTAACGTTACAGGATTAAAACGTAAGTACACTAGAACATTTAATTGAAATATATTTGAACCGAATTTCTTTGTAGAAATATTAAAATGGGTCGTGTATTTGTTGTTGGTGTCGGAATGACAAAATTCGAAAAACCAGGTAAAAGGAACGATGACTATCCGGAATGGGGCAAAGAAGCCATTTTATCAGCTTTAGATGATGCTAAAATAGACATGAAAGAAGTGCAATTAGCCACGGCTGGGTACGTTTACGGCGACTCCACTTCAGGCCAGAGAGTAATCTACGAAGTAGGCATGCAAGGTATTCCAATTTTTAACGTAAATAATAATTGCTCGACGGGTTCAAGTGCTTTAATGTTGGCCAAGGAAATGGTGGAATCAGGAAAATGCGATTGTGCTCTAGCAGTCGGTTTCGAAAAGATGGAAAAAGGTAGTTTATCATCTAAATTCAACGATAGAACTAACCCTATGGATAAACACGTAGAAGCTATGGCAGATTTGACAGATATTGTCAATGCTCCAATGGCAGCGCAACTATTTGGCAACGCTGGGATCGAACATATGCAGAAATACGGTACAAAACTAGAACATTTCGCTAAAATTGCGTACAAGAATCACAAACATTCAGTAAACAACCCTAAAAGTCAGTTCAGAGATGAATATAGTTTAGAACAAATTTTAAAATCACCAAATGTGTATGGCCCACTAACTAAATTACAGTGTTGCCCAACTTCAGACGGAGCTGCAGCTGTTATAGTAGTTTCTGAACGGTTTGTTAAGTCACACAAACTGGAAAGCAAAGCTGTAGAAATATTAGGAATGGAAATGACCACAGATTTAGCTTCTACTTTCGCAGATAAGAGCCATATGAAAATAATTGGTTATGATATGACAAAATTAGCAGCTGACAGACTGTTTCAAAAAACCAACCGTAGACCTACTGATGTTCAAGTCATTGAATTACATGATTGTTTCTCAGCAAACGAATTGATTACATACGAAGCGCTAGGGCTCTGCCCGCCTGGCAAAGCTGGAGAGTTAATAGACCGTGGTGACAACACTTATGGTGGTAAATATGTTGTCAATCCAAGTGGAGGATTAATTTCCAAAGGACACCCTCTTGGAGCTACCGGTCTAGCTCAATGTGCAGAACTTTGCTGGCAATTAAGAGGTGAGGCAGGTCCTAGGCAAGTAAAAGGGGCCAAATTGGCGTTGCAGCACAATATTGGGTTGGGAGGAGCTGTTGTGGTTGGACTTTATCAGTTGGGATTCCCTCAGAATGGTGGTGCTCAAAATTCTGGTGGTTCTGGAGGTCAAAGTCAAGATTTGATTGGGGGAGAAAATTTCACAGCTTCTACTTATCTAAGGTGAGTTAAATTGACAGTATATATCTGTGTATAGTGTGAATAAGTATATAAGTGAAGAAGAGTAAAATGACATAAGTGTGACTGACATATTATTATTATTATTTCCTTTATTTAGTTAGTTTGCTAATATCACAATATACAAATTTAGTAAAAATATACATATAAGTCAAAATATAGATAATTTAGATACAATTAAAACTAACTAAAATTCTATAGGTTGATACTGTTTCTGGAGAAATATTCATCAATTAAAAAATTTTTCACTTTGACTTTAAATGTAGTTACAGACATTACTCATTTAATTTTCTCTGGAAGTGCATTATATTGATTTAGACCTTTAAAAAATAGTGAATTTTGTGTTGCACTGTTTCAATATAAAAGTTATTTCTATTTAGAGTGATAATTAAGCTTCTCTTTTAGGTACATTGGAAGTAACGCATGTTTGATTTTATTAATAAAAACGCATTCCGTAATCAACAGTCTCGAATGCCCTTTGAAGATCTATAAAAACTGCCAATGTTAGTTAGTTTTTATCAAATTTATATTTCCAATCATACAGTGAGCACCATAAGTCTTACCCCCCCCCCCCCCCTATCTAACTCGTTACTGGAGTCTTGTTAGGAAAATCGCAGAGACACGTCGATTTTTGATTTCTACAATGTACATTTTTGTATGAATAGTTTACCCTTAATTTCATCTCTTACTGGAGGGGAGCAACCCTTTCGAAAAATTTAAATGGCATGGGGTGGTGAGTGATAGCTCATTTGAAAGAGGGTTTTATTCTCTATTCAACCGTGTAAAAAAATTTGAAATTTGCTTCATTAATTCTTGACTAATTGTTGTTTCAGAATAACGGAAATTAACGTAGCGCACTCATCCTTAGAATTAAAATTCGGCCCTGCACGATTTCGGTTTTGGTTCAGACGTGAAGTAAGACTGTTTGCCATTAGAAGGTCACTGTTAGTCTAATTGCTTTCCTATTTTGTGAGGTTTTGTTATTTTTAAACATTAATAAATCAACACGTAATGAAGCAAATTTTAATTTTTTTTTGCACGGTTGAATAGAGAATAAAACCCCCTTTCAAATGAGCTATCACTCACCACCCCATGATATTTAAATTTTTCGAAAGGGTTGCTACCCTCCAGTAAGGGATGAAATTAAGGGTAAACTAATCATGCAAAAATGTACAGTGTAGAAATCAAAAATCGACCTGTCTCGGCGATTTTCCTAACAAGACCCCAGTAACGAGTTAGTTAGGGGGGGTAAGACTTATGATGCTCATTGTATAAAACACACTGGATAGCTGATTCACAGTTATGTTTGCTTTTGAAGCCCGATTGTATTCTAGTAATATGTTTATTTTGTTCTAAAAAATTAACAATTTGTTCAATGATTTTTTCGATACAACTTAACATACTATTAGGCCTTAAATCTGTAGCTTTATTTGCGTTTTTTGTCTTTGGAACAAGTACTACCATAGCAATTTTTAGAGCATTAGGTACTAGGGTTGCCAGATTTAAAAAAATTAAAAGCGGGAGGTGGGTAGTACATAGAAGGAAAAAACACGCCATATTTTGTCACAAAAACATGAACATTTTATAATTAAACATAGTTTTAAAAGGCTAGAGACTAAAATATATTTTTGACAGATCTTGACCATATTTTTCCAGGACAAAACGAATATATAAAAGCAAATTATTATTAAAAACTACATACATTAAAAAATAGGTGGATTTTTTATATTTTTGACTGTATTTAACTTTTTTTTTAATATACTCGCAACATCATTTTTTTTTTAAATTTAGCAAGTTTTTGGTAAGATTCTCTAAAATTATCTTTGATCTTAACTTCTAATGTTTGTATGTCCAGTAAAGTTGGGCCAAAAAAATTGACTATTTTTTTTTTTTTTTTTTTTTGAAAATATATCGAGAATATCATTCAGGATGACAAAAAAATAATTTGAGCCTTTAATATTAATTTTAAGAGGCCTATCGTCGCTATTTTTGATTTTTAGTCATAATTTGATGTTTTACGTTAGAACTGTCAAAACATTAAAGTAAAAAAATTCCTTTTCACATTTTTATATAAAATTAAATTCTCAACAAAAAATTTCAATTTTTTTCTTCGATTTTAATCGTGAATAACTTTTAAAGAATTAAATTTAGGCAAAAATTTTAAGAGACCTTTTTTGTAGAACATTAAAATTTCCTTTAAGAATCCGACGTGAGCTTTTTTAAATATTCATTGATTCATTAGTTACAAAATTTCAAAGTAAAAAGGACAAATCGAAAAACACATCGATCTATTAAGCTCAATTACTCGGAAACGACTCGTCTGACGAAAATTTTCAATCAGACCTTTTTTGTAGAGAATTTAATTTTATATAAAAATAAGTGAAAAGGAATTTTTTCACTTTAATGTTTTGACAGTTCTAACGTAAAACATCAAATTATGACTAAAAATCAAAAATCGCGATAATCAAAAATTAAGGGCTCAAATGTTCACGAAATTTTTTTTGTCATCTTGAATGACATTCTCGATATATTTTTAAAAAAAAAAAAATAGTCAATTTTTTTGACCCAGTCTAATGTCCAGTATATTTCTCTCTTTTCTCCATGCCAAATCCACTAAATTAAAAATTATTTCGCTCATTTCATTTGAATGTGGAAGGGAAAAATAACAGCAATTTAAAAAAAAATGGTGGCATTACTTAACTCATCAAAATTTCCTAAAAATTTGTTCATTAAATTTAGAAAAAATAGACCACCTAATTTAAAACAATTATTTAATGTATTTTCTACCTTTCGGAGAAGAGGGAGTCTTGTTTAAGTGAGCGAGAGGGGGGAGATTTAGTAAAAAAGTAGGAGCCTCCGCCTAAATCGGGAGGTACCTATTTTTGAAATTTCTAATGAAGAATTTATCAAATTTAAAAGTGGTTCTGAGAGGTTAGGAAAACAGTTTTTTAAAATATTAATGTTAATGTCATCGGTGCTACTTTTATTTTTCATTTCAAAAAGAATGTCTCTTAAAGAATCCACCGTACATAGTTGAAATTTTCCAAGAAAATGTCCACATTGTGTCTGTCTAAAATTTGATAATCTGGTATTGCATGATTAATCATACTAGCAATTTATTGGATACTTTCTATGTAAAATTTATTAAGAGCATTTGGCATGTCAAAAATATTTTTTATAATTATTTTCTAGTTCAATTAAGTTATTCGACTTATTATTTTTTGGAATCAGACATTCAAGATATTTCCACATTTCCTTTGAATTTCCCCTACTTTCGTAAATATTTTTCTCTATGTGTTTACTTTTTTCTGTTCTAATTACGTTAACGGCCCTATTTCTATGCATTTTGTATTCATTCCAATTATTTTTTGTTTTTTCTTGTGAATAATTTTTATGCAAGATCTCTAGTAGGTATAGAGACACTTGAGCCTGGGAACCAAATTTTCCTTTGATGATGCCGACAATGATGCCGCCAAAGGTCATTAATCATTTTAATTACCTGTCAATCATTAATTACCTTGTCTATAATTAATGACCTGTCAATCATTAATTACCTATCAATAATTAATTACCTATCAATCATTAATAACGTGTTAATCATTAATAATTATTTAATTTGCTAAATGATGGTAAATATAACGCGGCTTCGAACAAAGCGGCTAGTATTGTAAATATCACACCGCGGTTGAAGAAGAGGTATCTGATTCCAGGTAAAAGGGCTCGGCTCGTAAGGGTCATAACTAATAGTGAGACGACATTTGAATTAATTGCTTGAATAGATATACGTGTTCGTAGCCATGTGTTTTAAATATGAAATGAGATCACTGCAGTTAAAATCTGAATATATAATCTGAGAATAAAAAGATAAATTGTAAATTATTTGTATACGAGGTATAGTCTGATAACATTCACTTTACTGTGGTATATTCCACTTTTATCATATTGATTTCATCATTGAATGAGTAAGTGGCTAAATTATAAGTACAGAGTGGTAACTAGAGAAGAGTGGGATCATTAAAATTCTCCTATATGAGTACATATATCTTAGAGATTAGCGTAAATTAAAAACAAAAATCGCTATTTCTGCTTACAAAATTTTAAAATATCCATAATATAACAAACAAAAACCGTTTCTATTACACTAATTTTACAGTGACAGATGATTAAATTCAAAATACATTGACACATGATCTAATTAGACAAGAATGTATGCATTTATTTACTTATCCAAGAACTTAATTATCAGTTTTTATCAAATACGCTATTGACCATATATGTTGGGGATTACTGCTCTAGTTATTGAGCGTATTTTTAGTTAACTGGTAACATCAATCTAATCATGAGTGTATTGAAGAATGCCGGACAGTCGAGAGATAAGTATGCATCCACATTCCCGCAACAGTTAAGTCGTAGTCTTTCCGGTCACGCTATGGATGTGTGACCAATAGAGGGCGTTTCACCAGGGGACGCAACACCATGGAACTTAGTCGATTAGCGTGTTTATAATATACTTCTTTCTAAAACACTAAATATATTTATCTAAATCTGTACTGAGATCTACATTCTGTCATTGTAAACCCAATATTTTGGTCACCAGCCGCCACTATTAGGATGATAGCACGGGGATTCGAAGGGTATACATTAAAAAATGTTGAAGAAGCTAACTGAATGCATAAGCTGGCAGGGAGGTAAAACCCTATTAATCAGACTCGTGTAATGATAAGCTAATAGTTACGGTACCAATAGTTGTATGTTGATTTTTTAATAATTGGAGAAGTACTTTGGTAATGTGCTAATAAATCGGTACTTACTAATTAAAAAAAGTTAAAGAAAAAAAGCCACGGAATCTCATTAAAATCAAAAAGTAGTCTTACTTAAATTATTATCCTACGATACTGAAATGCCATTGACTAAGAGTAGATATGACAAATCCTCACAATTATTGAATTCCTTACATTTTCCAAAGAACTACCCCAATTTTCCAC